AGCGCCTAGCTTTTTGGAGGAGGTCCGAAAGCTTTCTGTAAAACTCATCTTTAACCTCGTCTGAACTGCAGTTAGTAGGAGCATAAGCAGATATGACGAAGAGGCAACGGCGAGTGTCCCTATCCTTCCCAGTCCTTACTGTCCCGTTTAGTCGGACAGCGCACAAGCGACTATCTACTGGGATCCGGTCAAGGAGAGATTGTTCAGCTCTACGACTCAATGCTATACCTACGCCAGCAAGACCTCTGGAAGCAGCATCAGGGCTTCTAGATACACGAAGAGTAATTCGAATTGCTTCTTCATTTTGACAAGGTGAAATCAGATTAATGATTTTACTAGGATCCTGTATGCGCGTTTCCGAGACGCAGCATACATCGATGGCACGAGATTCTAAAGTCATAGCTAAGGAAGCTTGTTGTCCTATTTGACACAATGTACGTACATTAAAAGCTCCAACATGTAGTTTAGAACGGGGTTTCAAGAGACCAGGAATGACGTTTCGTGAACTCGCTTCGTCTGCATTAGCGGTGCAGTGAGAAAAGGGAATGTGAGTAGAGTTCGTTATGGAGAGAAGAGAGGTATGTGTGGGTGTAGGAAGGATTTGATTCCGACCAAATTGGTCTCTCATGCTGTTACGGGTATGAGGGCGGTTGTCACTTCCCGGCTGCCCACACCGTGGAAGGTTGTTTCTTGAGGAACCTGAAAAGGAAGATAGATTAGTGTTGGTCTTGGAGACCTGGGAGCATGACCGCAGAGTCCAAGGGACAACTGCTTGAGGCCGGTCATGCACGGCCTTTTTATGAAAGGTTTTTTGAGGATTAGCTCCGTTCTCAAAGGCCCTTAGTGGGCACCCTTACCCAAGGAGACGGAAATCCGTGAGGTAGTTTGAGGTGTGACATTTTTAGGGTTACCTTTTCTAACCCTTCCTTCATTGTGAGAAGGCAGCATCGTTGCAGATACTGGTTGTCCGAGGGAAACACTTTACTGCTGTCACACCCGTCTGCAGTCAGCAGTACGACTTCGCCCTCAGACCTTGGGTAACTGCTTTTAGTCTCATCGCTCTCCAATCGACCTGCCTGGCATGGTAGAACCTTCAGGAACATAAGTTCCAGCGAATATAGCTCGGTTGGGTCATCACGATAGGCAAGCCCGACCACCACGTCAAGGTAGCAGCTACGGTCGGGTCAATACATAATAATGAAATTATTCAAGATTGAATCTCAGAAATAATCATCTAATTCCATTTACCTAAATTCGATAGAACTTCATATACTTTTAGAAAAATAAGGTTAGAAATGATTTTTATCGCAAGTTGCTAGTAAGGCATCCACTATATAAATGATTTAAATGTCAATTTATTCAATACGAATTGATCCACGCACAACACTTCGTATAAATTCTAATAAGACAAATAGTGATACACAATGAAATTGACGTAAAAGTGCATATAAAAACAGTAATGAATAAAATAATTTTCTCCTTAATTTACTGTATTTTGACTGGAGAAGAAACCTATGACAATTTAAAAAATCAATAAAATGTTCAGCTTATGAAAATACGTACGCCGAAGGTATAGACACACATACATACGCACATATATCCACTTTGCACACACACACACACACACACAAACATACAAGCACAATTTATATTTGTGTTCGCATAAGTTGCAATCATATTAATGAGGCCAGTCTTAATAATGAATTCCTTTTTTCGCCTAATATCTATAAAAATATTTCTGTCTAGTATTATACACTGTGATCATATTTCAACAATCTTTACAAAACTGGTGTCTGTGAAAAGAAAAACTTTATTCGGTATGATTTCAAATAAGTATTGAATCGTTGGGAATTCTTGCTAAACGCACATACACAAACAACTGTGAATTACAAAGAGAAAGACAGAAACTACCATGGTAAAAATTATTGATTTTATAAAAAAAATATTTTAAACAATTCAACAAGCTAAATTGCTCACAATTATCACTTGTTATTGATCAATGAATCCATGACAATTTATTACAATGATAATGTGATAATCCGATATCATACAGTCATAAGTACGTTAAGTTTAACCTGGCATATATGTGTAACAACTCAAGTTGACATACCACTATCAGTATATGAGATGAAATAACCAAAACAAATTCTAAAGTACTAAGATTAATGACAGCATGAGGTAGTAAAAGTGAACAGGCACAAACAATAAAATTCGACAGTATAAAACGGTATAAGCTGATTTTCAAACCCAACATCTAACAGAAGATATGAAATAAACAGAACTGATGTATTGTAGTCTATTTTTAGCCAACCTAATCTGTCTAACACTATCGGGTTCGATATACTCATGGAATCCAACAAATAAATAGTCTATACGTCAATATAACACTCAACCTTTTTTACTCAGATTGCTGCCACTTCGACAAGATAAAATTCTTTCACATAGACTGTTATAAACAGACTAAATGTAAATCAGACTTTGTGAAAAATTCATTACTTCTGGACGACTGCTTAGGATTCGAGTTGTACATATTGCAAACTTCAGTTAAATTGAAACAGAGTAATTTTCATTCAATAGCATAATTCAGTTCGGTACAAGTTGGCTCCGAACGCTTAACCTCTTCCTTGTTTTCATAAATTCTCTACTCCTGAACCCAGAAACAGAGAGCATAAAGCCAAGATAATGGAAGAATCTTTTCTCACAAGGTTAGTTCATTCACAGAAGACAAGAGTGTTAACGGTGCTATATGTAACCCTATAATTCATGAAGACTAAGCGAAGTAAAATAAAATCGATAATCTTCAGTTTCAAATCTTAGCCAGATTGCCATGGAAAACCTGGAATCCTCAGACTACCACTTCGTACTTACAAGGAACTCCTGAGCAGTCCGTATCCGGGAGCCGAACTCATGACCTTCAACCACGCACCTAAATGCTTAACCTCCAGAACATGAGCGGGTATCTAACAGTGATAATCTGTAAACTCAGTCGATCCACGATAGTGTAACTTTCAGTATTGCCTCGGGACGAAGCAACCGTTCAGTGCTTCCAGGTTTTCACTCGTGATTCATGTAAGATCAGTTCATAATTTAAAACTATGAAAAGTCTACAATCTCAAAAAATCCCTTATACTGATCGTCCTTTGTGTGTTGCAGGATTTGTTTGGATAGTTCTATATAATGCTAGCTGATCAGGTTATTTTCAGTATTATCCTAGATTCCAAAAACTTCTGCCAAGTAATTATCGAAGGTTCCTACACACATTCGCTACTTGACTCCTGAGTTAAACAATGTTCAGTGTATCGAAATTTCATACAAGAACACTAAAAAATTTACATTAAAGCTACTTAATCATTCGCAAATGATTACAATTATTGTTACTTATTAATTTTATTTCAAAACGAAGTTTGAAGGAATAATAAATGCTAGAACTAATTTGTGGATTCTTAATAGTATGTATAATTTTGTTGTGTAAATATTGAGCAAATGTATTACTAAATATATTCATTCTATTTATAAGCTTTCAAGTAATCTATTTATTAATATGTTAAAACTAACTATTCCTAATTTGACGCCATTGTACTGCTACTGACAGCAACTTCACTCCTTATAACTAGTTCAGGTACCAACTAAAGCCAATCCTTAAGCGAAATTCTGTATTCTGAGGGGGAAAACCGCATCCTGAACATGCTTGCATTGTTGCTTAAGGTGGTGGTCAGAAGACGTCAACGTCTTCACCGAACAAGACTATCTCATCGTAATATTCTAAGTGAATGAGTGAATCTCCTGGTAGAAGGCCAACTTCAGAAAACTCAGATGATGAAAGTGTCGTTTCTAAACGCATGTCAATGACAAAGTTGGATAAGAATGGACAACCCTGATGAACACTTGATGTATTCAATTCCGATGACAGTTCTCCATGAGCTGTCACTCGGTCAGTAGTATTTTGGAATGTGATATATTGGTAAGCGTTCTTAAGCCATTTGTTTTTTGTAGAGAATATCAGTAATTTAAAATTCATAACTATCAGAAAGTAAAATTTCATACTTATAATTCCGTTTATCATCTTGAAGAGGGCAGAAACAAAGGTATGAGCAGCATAACATGAATTCATTTATTTTCGATTGGTTCTCATCCGCTTCTTACAACCTGTCATACATTGAATTTTGGTGACAAATATTGATATCGATTCCTTCTTTTAACCAGTTACATCATTAAGTCTTTGTTTTATTTTATTAAGCCAATTTTAACCGAATGAGCTGTACTCATTTTGATCTCACTTATTATCAGAGTCTACTCGTTGTGTAACGACTTGTTTTTGGCTCCTTGAACTTTTGCAATTAACAATGTTGTAAAAGACTTTTTTACATGAGGCATACATCCGCAATATTTTATTTACACTCCTACTATACAACACTGTGTGATAACACTGTCTATCGACTAAGTTCCTTCATCTAAGTAATCTGGACCGATTTTGAATTTTACAAGTTGTAAACAGCTGACGATAAACGAACAGAATAAAATGAATATTATGCTGCGTATATTTTTGTTCTTGCTATCATCGAACTAATATCAATTGAAAGTTATTAAGTAATTTAAAATTAAATAAAACTCTACATTGATAACCTTATAGTAATAATAATAATAATAATGTTCTGAGAAACATAATAACTTTACAATGAGAAATAAAAATTTTACGTGAATAGGTCTGGTTGTTTTTAATTGATATAGTAGTTATGTAGTGAATGAGAACACAGGTGGGGCAACCGGATTGTATATAACGAAAATTACAGAGTTACTCAGTAAAATAGGAAAACCATATCGTAAATCGTTCATTTGCAAAAGATCAGTTCATCTTATGGAACTGGACTGTTCCTGTTGCCAAACATCAATCCATTGTCACTATTCATGTGTTTCATACAAATTCCATTGTTTTCTAACTCTTCCTTTCTTGATCTTCCCCCCATATTATGCTACCAGACTTTACGTTGACACTCACGTTATATACTACTTATAAGTAGTTCGCACCACAGCACCACAGTTAATCTAACTGCAATGCAGTAGATGAGTACATGAAGTGATCGTTAAAAATCAATAGCTATTGTGATACATGAAACCAAGTATTTTCCAGCAACCCTTTGAGGAGTGTACAAAATCAAGTTTTTCGAACCGCCTAAAATTACGAAACAGAAATAATCAATAGAGTTTGGATAATTGGTCACAAAAATTTTCAAATAAGATTTATTCAGACTGTATAGCTGTGTGAATTGAAATTCGCTATATTCAAACATACTTCATTCATTGAAGAACAGACTGATTTAATCAATTGTTATTGATATTAAACTTGCTTGTTTCAACTTGTTTTTGCTATAGTATCATTTCTTTTATGTTATATATATATATATATATATATATATAAATATATATGGAGATAGATAGATAGATAATCACCCCTGGGGTCGGAAGGTAATTTACATAGAATCAGCAAGACAAAAAATATTTCATAACAACTCAGACAAGCTACTTTTCTCATTTTCATTATGATATTTTGTGTCATCAGTTTAAACTAGACTCTACATACTTACTTTAGTACGATCCATTGGGAATATCAAATCTTTAATGTATTCTTGTCTTAAATTTATTTATTGATTACGGTCAGACAATAATAATTTGTACAATGGCATTGAAAACTAATACCAGTTTTATTGCAAAATGTCAGTGTACAAATAAACAAAATATCAGATAGCAGATAGATATAGATATATAGTCGGTGAATATAGATGATAAATGATTTGTACAAGTGCGTGTTACTTATTCACTTGTAGAAGAAAACGATTTTTTCTGACGGACAGTTGGAACTGGTATAAAATTTCCTTCTTTTTTTCACTTGGATTGGACAACAACACATAGGGTACATCCTTAATATATTCACTGATTAGAAAGAAGTAAGCTATCTGAAAAAAATAAATCGTATTTTCAAACAAACCAATCAACTGATCATATATATATATATATATATATATATATATATATATATATATATATATATATATATATATATATGCAATAAATGCAATTGTAAAGGCTCGTTGCGTTTAGTATTTTGACGTCAACAAGTATTATAAAAGTAAAATAAATTGAGAATATCTTGTCAACTTGCATAAATCCAGTGTAAATTTAAGGTAAGCATTGTAACTTTGGCCGATAAACATTCGATCACCACTTACGATGTAGATGTAATTGTAAAACTTATATACAGACAGGATGTATGATACTGTTCAATCACAAGCTAAATTTAAATAGTCCCCAATCTTCCATATTTTCATAACTTAAATTTAATCATTCTTTGTTTAAATGCAATACAAACAGTTCACTTGAAAATCAGTAATCGCAAACTATCTTGAGTAATTCGTATCATTTCATACATTATATAATCTCTTACGGAATATTTTGGCATGATAATCAAATTGTAAAGTTAATTTTAGAACTCAACATCGAACACTATTTTTGAGCTAATGGAACCGATTCGTAGTCATTCATCGTCTTCAGCCTTTGATTATCAATCCCCCTAAGGATGGGAGTGAAAACTCACGAGACAAGGTGAGTTGTTATTGATTAGGTCAGTCTTGTCTGATCTCGTCGTTTCGTTTTGAGACACATGATTGACACTGGTCTATAGGTCATGGTAACTTTAAGAGATAATGAGAAGACTTTGACATACCTTGGTTAAATAGACCACCTCTCAGGGGATGAGAAATGTTTTAGATGATCTAATAAAATGACCCAGTGAAATTACATGTTGTCTCTTTTAGACTCCGGAAATTCCGAAGCAGATGTTGATTCACAAGCCATCATGATTTCTGATTACTTGAAGTTAACTGAAAAGAAAAGCTTTCATAATGAAACATGCTATCGAATTTTGTTTACTCAAAAAAGTAAGTTTAAAAAATCTAAGGATTTAAGTGAGCATGACCCAGGTATTTTTGAAAATAGGTGAATATTTTAAAAAGTGGGACTATATGAGTCAGTGGATAAATTACATTTATTGCACATAAAATACCTTAGTTGTAGAACATAAATAAATCGGTTTGATATAATTAACTTAAGTGCTTATGTCTACTGTTATAATTCACTAAAAATAAGTATCAATTAGTGAAGATCTATTAAGATGTGCTATCAAATCCAGATTTAGTTTAAATTTAATCCTTTCCTCTACCTGCTACTGTCTCCCCGTTTGCGTTGAGTCATATAAATCCGTATGTGGTTTTCGAAAAGAATTGTGTTCGTGCTAGAATAGAAGAAATGTCGGCTTGATCATGTTCAGTAACTCTCAGTTTTCAATTACTGCTATTTCAGAAAGAAAAACTATTGGTATGAGGCAACGCTATTTTTAGAGCAAAGTGACAATTTCTTTTGAAACACAGCCTTTCGTTGTTTAAAGGCTATGGCGACAAAAGCAGAAAGGTGGTCAGTTTATGAGATTTTAAGGTGGTTTGAAAAGAACTTCTATAAGGCTGGTGTTTATGTATGAATCATGACAACCAGATCTTGATCCTTAGAGTACAACCACTCAGCTGCTACCTGGAACATTGAAAACTCAAAATCATTTGACATTAAATGCTGAATTTATTTTTAAAAACCCACCTGTTTAAAATGAAGGCCAAAAGAATAATATTTGAGACATTTGAAGTCATTCAATTCACCTGAAAGTTCATTTTGATCTCAACTTTCATAAGACTTTTTAACTACTTATGAGTAGAGTAAATCGAGCGAGAAAATGTTTTAGCTAAACTCCAGATGCACTATAATACAAAAATTTATCAAAATCAGTTGAGGGGAGTTTTATCATCAACTATTTGACGAAGTGTTGATTTTAACCTTAGGGATAACATGTATTACGTAGTTCTATAGATTTTTGGTGTATGTCTGAAAAGCGCGGAGCTAGTATACTAAAATCTGTTCACAAAAAAACTGCGATGGTTCATACTGATAACGGCGCGACCAATAGGACGAGTGACTAAAGGGAGTATATATTAATAAATGTGATCATTCAAAAGGAGAAGAGGATGTTTGATCGTGTGAAATATGTTCGATTTACCCTTTTTCCCATAGCCTCACGACCAATCAAAAATGTAATTTTCCAAATGTACAGTGAAAAGTCTACTTTCAACGAATACAATCATTTTTTTGAATTCGGCAACAAATTATGATTGTTATTACCCTGGTCATGATTTTCTTGTGTGTCGATTTCAAATAACTAGGATATAATCTATTAGAAGAGATGTTTGTTACACAATTTCAAATGACCAATAATGTAAGAGTCATCAACTTAATTACATGTAAATATTTGCAGTAAAAATGTAATGGTATGTAAAATAAATTTGTATCTATTCATTGTTTAAATAAAGTATTTGATTCCAAGTCAAATATATCGCTAGAATTATTTTATTGTATCGAAGAATCATCATCGTGTACGCATTCGAATTTAGAATGCTTATATTACTTACTTAAACCTGTCACCTTACTTAGTCTATCGGAAAATATGAAGAATAGTAAATTATTGAAAAAACTAAAATAAGGCTGCGTAATGATCGGAAAGTAGAGAAAAAATGAAATGTGTAAAAGATAACTATCCAATTAAAGAATATGAGAAAGATGGAAAATACATGAAATAACTAAAATATTTCGATCAAATATCAACAACCAATTGACTGTGCATTAAAAAGTAAGTATTCTAGTCACGATATAATAACAACTTAATGTGATGCTGTTTTGCATACATGGTTCAAGTTTGAAATCATGAATTGCTACCGTCTTTGCAACAAATTCATCTATAAAATATTGTTGTAATTTTGGCTAACTAATTTGGAAAAAAACTATTTAGGCATTTTTGCCTGTCAAACGTGAATCTTAATTGGAATAAATGATAATCTGACACTTAAGTTTACTTGAGTTTCGGCAACCAGGTAGCATCAATCGTCGTTACATAAACAGTACTGACCTCAAAGATAAGTAGTATATAACTAAACGAAACCAACAGGTTTCATGAGTAACAATTACCAGAAAAGTATATGGATAGCTTTGTGGTTAAGGTATTTGGGTAATGACCACTAATTCACTGCCTCAAACTATGCCCAACCTACTTCAGTTGGTGAAAATGAGTGGTACCTTTACACTTAGAGTGTGAGTAAAGCAACTAGATGAATTTACACGCACCTAGTAAATGATATAATAATAATAATAATAATAATAATAATAATAATAATAATAATAATAATATTAGAAAGGACGGTAGTAGTAGTAGTAGTACGAATTTTCAATATATTTCTCTAAGGATGGAAAAATAATGTAAAATCTAAAATGTAAAGACAATTAGTGCCAATAAAGATTGCATAAATTACTATATAACAAAGTGAAAGTAGAAACTAGCATTATTACCAATAATAAGATAACAGACAACTATATCGTTCATAAAACCAAAACATTAAACCTGTTGTTAATGTAGCCTTTAAAGCTGATGGTATCCAACCTTTATACAATCCACGAATACCATGTTCTTTAACAATATCTTTCAAACAAGAGAATGAAGCAAAAAACTGACTTCGATTCAGCTGTTTCAAATTAATATTTTTATATGTGGATGGTGTATAATCTTTAGGCAATTCACCGAATGTTGAACGGGCTTTTTCGAATCCACGTATTTCTAAACGTTTTTTAGCCAAATCAAGCGGATACACAATTGTTTTAGCTAAGAGACCAGAAAATCCACCTGCCCAAAGTGGAAAATGCCAATTCAACTGATGGCTATGACGATGATCAGTTTGTGATGATTGGTGACCTAAATAATTAAATAGATACGTATGTAATTCTTTTAAAAAATGTATTAACATAATTTATTTAGTTCTCATTGTTGAATCGAATTGATCGGCCATGTTTGGAAACCAAACCACCTCTATAAATGCCTCCTCACAGCAGAGAAAAGAATATAAGAAGTCAAACACAAAAGTAATACACCTCAACTTATCCCCAACGGATTTCCTTCATCTCTAACAAAGTATGAGACTAACAGATTTAAAAATACTCACAAAAAAGTAGTGTGGTCTGCCTAGAGAGGTTGTCCCTTGGACACTGCTCTCACCCCCTTCGTACGAGTAATGACATAAACTCGTCTAAACGGAAATCTCAACGACCACTAAGAATAGCTCTAGTTGATATAGAATTTTTTAAAAAATAACCAAGATGAAATCAATAAATAACTACTTAACAAGTTCATTTTTAAACAAGCCAATTTAACAAAATACAAAGCAGAATAGATGATTTAAATTAATTAAAACAACTAATCCAAAAAGTCCGAGGCCAAATGAAATGAAGGCATTTCAGTAATGCAATCTTGAGATATCATTCGATACAGGATATCAAGTGGATACACTGAAGTCTTTCAGGGTGACCAATAAAAAACCGAATCCCAATCTCTTGAACTTTGTCGAAGCTATAATCCTAACGTCTGAAACCAGATTTATATATCGTTACCCTGGTAACATCCATTTTATTGCATCACCCATTATTTGAACTCGTTCTCAAGTTCTGATTACATTATTTTCATTTTACTTGAATTCGTAATTTTGATTTTGATCAAACGATTTCAACTCATATTAATGTTTATTAATATTAATTTGTTCTCAGTTGCTTCATTACACACAACAATCTAAAGTTTGTCAACTCTATGATTATTAGTCACTGATTCGATGTTCTGGAACTTTCTCTCTTCGATTTGTAACATATTTTTATGACCACCTTATTAACTTTATTGGAATCTTCACTACATCATGATACATATATTCATCTCTAATCACCTTCATATTTATAAGTATGTCAATTTCTAAGATAATTTTGATTTTGAAATACTATAGGTTGTAAGTAGTTAGCGAGAACCTAGTAAAATAAAATGGAATCGTATTATCCTGCACAAATCTTTGTTTGTTTTTTTTCTTCTTAAGATAATAAACAGAACAATGCGCATGAAGAAACCAAATGACCCGGTTGTCGAACTTAACGGTGAATCCACCTGCTATTCTAAATAAAACATATCAGTATAATCACAGTTGTACTGAGCTGGCTTTTTTTCCAAACAAATTCTCTCTTATATGATCTGTTTAATAATATCATACGTAAATAAAAAAAGATCAGCTTAACTTACTGGCATCATTATCTAACGAAGCAGATTTATCCGTTGTAGAGACATTGACTTTTGATTCGAATACAACAAGAGATCGTTTCAACTGTTCATAAGTTGTAAAATATACAGTTGTTTGTGGTACCACTGATATAAGACATGGTCCAAGTCCTCGCCAAAAACCAAGTAATCCTTCTTCATGAAGAAGACGACACATGCCAAACAAGAAGCCTGAATAAATCTTAATTTTAAAACATACGCCAAATACATGTAAACATCAGTTTCTTATTTTATCATATTAAATTTATCAATTTACGTTAATATACAGGTTCACATTTATGCAACTACCGTAAAATTGTTTCTGCTTGTTAACTCTGAGACAAAAACATAGGTAATTAAATGGTCAGACTGAAGTCATATAGACTTTCACAAATATAATTTAAGTTAAATCTATCTTATTCCTTATAATCGGCTCTCACTTATGGCAGTACAGTTGCTTTACCTCTATTTCCACTGTTCAAAACATTCATGGAAGTCTACCAAAGTCAAGCTTTAAAACATTCTTGCCGTTTCGATAGAATAATCTAAATCCAAGTGACCAGCAACCATATAAGCATTAAATCGGCTACTAGAAACCATAAAGCATAGTATATTTTTGACATTTCCATCAACACGGGAAGTCATCAACGACCATCTTGACTTTATATCATACACAGCCTTTACGTTCTGAAACGTTTAATCCATTTAAAAATAACTTATCTTCGGTGGACTAAAGTTTCACAAATTTCCTGAGAATTTCGCCTAACTATAACCGAAAATTATAGTAGTTTAGTTTATGATGTTCTGATCAGACGATTTGTGTTCATTTAACTTATTACTGACAATTTTCAAACATCACTTATAACCATGATAATGATTTTTTCCCGTTAGAAGTATCAAATGACTTGTTGCAATGGTTACTGCTTCTCATTGCTTTGACCCAATAATAGTGTACACCACGTAACACTTGGCCAACCCAGTAAAATAAAGATAATAATGTGTGGAAAGCCTCACTTATCAACTTACAATTTAACCTTGATATAAATCATAATTTAGACACCATTTGATTTGTGATAACAATAAAGTCATCCACTAGGTTGTGCATAATAAATTCGAAGTCTAAAAGGCTTTTTCAAATACTTGAAGGTACTGGGTTCAGTTTTGTGAACAATTTAAACATGTGTATTTGTTGCTAGTGTTCATGTCACCATTACTGAAAAGAAAACTTTCCTTTTTCACTACATTAATAATACCGAAATACAACGTACAGTTATCAGTAACATATCAACCAAACGAAAAAACAGGAAAAATAACGAAAAAAGTACAAGGCTAAAACTGGTGAGTTAACGCAACATTTTAGAGTTTCATAATACCCTAATTTGGCAAGACATGATTGCAAAGATCCAAATAATTAGCCATCCATAAGTTGATACATCAATATGTAAGTTAAAGTTATCATATAGTGTCTTTATGTTATCCTACTAATCAAACGCTGATACGTGGGACGAATGCAATCCCATTCAAAAGGAAAATAGAAATGACCCACTATTTCAGAATTACATTATTTCTCTCAAAAGTATTTATCTGAAACATCAGTACTCCTAAGACAGCTTACTTCAATGTGGCTTATTGATCAGGTAAACAACCATTAACCAAAAGTGACGGTTAAAACATTTAGCTTGAGAAAAAAACAGGTAGGAGTTTTAAATCCTTTATTTTATTTTATTTACACAGTTGCGTAATATCACCAATCTTCAAATAGTATGGAATAAAGTCGAGTAGATTGATCTATACTTAGCAAATGGGTTATGTTACTATTATTTATCTTCGTTACAGAAAACCCAACATTCACACATACTAATTTTTAGTCTTAATAAACAAAACTTTAAAGCACACAGTAAATACTTTATAAAAAATCCCATATATGGTTACCTGATTTTTACCCTGAGCTATAAGTCGTGTCCTCATGACGTCTAATGGTTCACTTAGTGTAGATGCAATCACGCCAGTTACACTGCCAGCGATCAAATCGTGAACCCATGCCGATGATGAGCTAAGATTTATTTGGTTAACTAGTAAATTTTCAATGGCATAAAAACTCCCAAACTAAAACATGAAATTAATCATAAACAAGAAGATTGTAGTAGTATTTTCAAATAATACGAAGACTTTGATTGACATTGATGAAAAGAATAATGAAAATTCGAGTTACAGCAGTTTTATTACATAATACTCGGATTATTAGCGCACAAATATACTTCTGCCGTAATTTGGCTATTTACATTTGATTATAAGCCAGATTTAGTCTTTTTACGCGTAGAGTTGTATACATACTTTTGTTGGGAATCTGAAGGGTTTAACAGTCAATATTTTATCACATTTACTATTCAGATGAATCTTCCAAATAGGATACCAATCCAATGAAAGCTACTGATTAAATAGTAATTCATAAACGATTTAATAACTAAGACTACCTCATAACAAGGAAGCAGCAATCCGTATGAGGGTGAAATTAATCAGATTGTGAACATGACATCGAGCGCAGTTAAACGTTTATCATTGGTTGTAACTAAATACAACTAAATAAATTGTACAAAATATCCACACCTGAACACAGCTCTAGTTAGGCGTCAGATCCGACCACAGCTGCTACCTTGACGTGGTGAACTGCCCTGCCTATCGCGATGACCCAATCATGCTATATTCACCAGAACACATGTTCTTCTAGATCCCACCATACAAGGCAGATCCATTGGAAAACCGTAGAACTAAAAGCAGCTACTCAAGGTCTGAGGGCGAAGTCGTACTGCTGACTGTAAAGAGGTCTGACGGCAGTAAGGTGTTTCTCTCGGACAACCTGCATCTGCAACGATGCTGCTTTCTCACAATTAAAGGAAGGGGTTAGAAAAGATCGACCCTCAGAATTTCAAACCTCATCTTATCCCACGGATTTCCATCTCCAGCAGTAATGCCTTCTGAAGAGCGGAGCTAACACTAAAAACTTCCTATAGAAAGGTCGTGCGCGACTGGTCTCAATAAGTTGTCTCTCGGGCTCTGCGGTCTCGCTACCAGGTTGCTAACACCGACGCTAATCTAACTTCTTTTTCAGGTCCCTCAAGATATACCCATCCACAGTGTGGGCAGCCGTCAATTGACATCTGCCCTCAGTACAACAGACCAAATTAGTCACAATCAAATCCTTTCTACACCTCTTAATATCTCTTTTATATCCACGACCAGCCTTTCTCACATTACTTCTTCTCGCGCCACTGACGCAAACGTTCCCAGTTCATGGAGCATAATTCCTGGTCTACCGAAACCACGCCCTAAAATACAGGTTGGAGCATTCAATATTAGGAACTTGTGCCGAACAGAACAATAAGCTTACTCATCTAGAACTTTAGAATATCACGCAATCGATGTACGCTGCATCTCTGAGACTCGCATACAAGATACGAGTACAGTCATTTATTAGACCTTACCATGTCAAAATAAAGAACCGTCTCGATTTACGCTTCGTGTATGTGGAAACCCCGGTGCCGGTTCCCGCGGTCTCACTGGGGTAGGTATAGCATTGAATCCTGGACTGGATGCCAGTAGATAGTCACTTGTGCGCAAGGAAACCCTTTACGGCCCTTTCTAATGATAGCACAGCTAAGAAAAAACAGTTAGGCGGTCATGTAAGTGATTCCCGCTCGGAGGCACCTTGGAATGATATCCAAAAGGCTGTGGAAACAGCAGTGATATCTGCAAGTAAGGTAAACGATAAGGCTGGGAATAAGCCGTGGATCTCAGTGGCATCCACCGAACTGATAAACGCTTGAAAACTCATCCCACCTGGCTGTGAACATGACGAAGAGCGAAGTCAGGCTGATCAAAAGCCTACGAAATGATCGCGAACAGTGGTGGGTAGCGAAAGCAAAAGTGATATAAAAGGCAGCGGCAATAGGCAACAGTAGACAGTTGTTTCGGATATCAAGGAAACCGGTATTAGGAATCCGAATGTGAGTGAGACTATCTCGGAAAAGGATGGGACTGCTATTCATTCTCAATCCAGGATCGACGGGCAGAACACTTTAGGGATCAGCTCAACTGAATTGAATCCTAGAGCAGAACTAGCTCTCCTAGACTGGATCCCAGTAGACGGTCGCTCATTTCATGTCGAACTAAACGGCTCACTGTACGTAAGAAAAACTGCAAGGAAACACCATGGAGTTCTACTTAACAATAGCAAAGCTAAGAATATATTTCACGAGCAACTACATAAACAGTTAGCCAGACATGTAAGGGATGCCCACCCTAAAATCCAAAGAAATTTAAGGATAGTGGTCCAGTTTTGACAGTTACATTGACTGAGATCTAAGATAGGATCTGGGAATGGACGTAATCTCATCTGACTGGTCTCAATCACTGATTGACTCAGTCTGTAAGGACGGACAAAAGTCTTCTTGTGGCAATCACAGAGGAATCAGTTCAAATAATATAGAGCCTAGGATATTAGCTTCAAAAAAACTCCGACGCCTAACTAGAGCTTGTGAAGAGCAGAATCAAGGAAATCATGCTGGTTTCAGATCTGGACGTAGATATACAGACCAAATATTCACACAGACACACGTTCCGATGTCCGACAGTAGTTGCATTTCTCGACCTACAGGCAGCATTCTGTGACAATGTCTGTCATTGAAAGGAGTAGGAAAGAAATGTATTAACCTTGTACAGGCTCTCTACTCGAACACTACTGGCCGAGTGAAAGCTCATGGACAATTGTCATCGGAATTAATTACATCAAGTGGTGCTCATCAGAGCTGTCCACTCTCCATTCTTATCCAACTTTGTCATCGTCTGACTTTTATGAAGTTGGCCTTCTACAAGGAGATTCACTCATTCACTTAGAATATAACGATGACATAGTTCTATTCGGTGAAGACGCTGAAAAAATACAGTCTTCTGACTACTCTATGTAACAATGCAACTATGTTGAAGATGCGGTTTTCCCCCTCGAAATGTAAAGTGTTGTTTCAGGATTGGCTATCGTCGGTACCTAAACTAGTGATACGGAGTGATGTAGTCGAGCATGTTGACAACCTCACTTATCTAGGGATTCTCATCAGTGCTGATGGCTTGGTGACTGACGAAACCTCAGCACGAATACAAGAGGCTCGACTGACTTATGCCAACTTGTCCCTTATGGCGTAGGCTAGGTATTCGATTGCTAACCAAAGGATGAGTTTACTGTGCAGCTTTCCGAACCGTCTCAAAGTTAATGTTCACAATGATATTTGAACCCAGTACAAACAGCTTTAAAGGCAGACGTGTTATTTCACTAAGTCATTGAGTCCAGATAGCCTCTTATTCTTTAAGATTCAAAATTATATTTGAAACTAGGCAATATCAAGACATTTGATCAAGTTGCATAAAAGCAAAGGTTGAACAAACGTAAATTCTGTAAAACAGGAAAATAAAAATCCTTTAAAATAAGAGCGCATTCACATGAAGGAGAATGTACTAAAGATCATCTACACAAGCAGACCTGAAAACGAACGGTTTTGTTTACAGAAATAAGTCGTACAGTATGTTAAGAAACGTTTGTTATCGAAGACAAGTACTAGGTGAACGTTTTTAGATAAATCTATACACTAAGCTACCAACCTCAAAGGAATGCACCTAAATAGTCCCTTTTTCCAACACTTTGATCACGAGCTAGTATAAACCGATTGATTTCTTTGCGATCGATTCTAGTTGCGTCGGTACGGTTCCAGGTATTTAAGTGTCCAATGAATGGTAGTCTAACCACTCAGCTGCAATTATTCTAGTCAGTTGGCAGTTGTTTATGAATCTGTAAGTCCCATGATTTCAGTGAATGCGTTCGTTTTAGAGCAATATGGTTTCTGGATACCAGCAGATATAACGCTGCAAGGCTGAAGATCAATTAGTTGTGGAGAATGGTAAGGAGAAAGTTCTAATGATAATGAGATTCCAAAACTAATTAAAGTAATAACTAAATATATGAGTGAATTAATTGGTAATGACGAATGTATAAGAGGAGAGAAGTGTGAGCGAGGGACAGGAAACGGAGAAAATAAGAGAATAAGTCAGTGAGCTGAGAAAATGAATCCAAAACGACAGATATGTTTTAACTATTAGTACTAATAAAAAGCCTGGGAGAAGGTTTGTGTTATCTAGCGACGAATATTTACAGCTACATACTACAGTCTTGTAGTTGACTTATTAGTCATCGTACATCCTAAAGCCTAAAACAATGGACACTTGTGGACGCTAACACTCCTTTACATATCCACTTCATTAATTGTGCATACAGTATTCAGACAGATAAATTTTACACGATATTTCTAATTACTTGCGCTCCGCAAAAGGTAACAGAAAGAAATTGTGCGGGCACATGACCCTTCCACAAACCATATACACCTTCTTCTTTATAAATACGAATAAATGCTTGAAGCAGGCCCGTGTAATATGATTTTCCTGAGGGCTTGATATCTTCCACTTGTAACTAAATCAAGGTTTTTCAATACAATACTATGAAAACTCACCTGAAAGCGAATCTTTATAACATCTAATGGTTGCGTAAGAAACCGGACAGTAAAGCCGGACAAGCTTCCAGCAATTAAATTCTTCGTATCATCTTTCATACTCTAGGATTACCACGGATACAATGTAAAGCAAAAACTAACATAACTCTCCAGAGGTCAGACGACCTATGGACGATGCCAAAGTGACCTTGACGATAAACAACTATTTACTAGGGTTAAAAGGTTAGAACTAAGTGTGAGGAATTAGAAATAGGATTTAGAGCTAGATGTTAGCGTTCAGTATTATATTTGGGAGGTTCCATCACGAAATGACGTCAGCTACAATGATAAAACGTTATTCAAGGCCAACGTAGTTTGTAATTCCGCACAGTACTCAACGACCAATCAAAACTGAGCGTTTGCTATCATATGCACCGTCCTTCTAAGCAATGGTAGACTGCTCTTCTCATTCTCAGATAGTTTTTCAGTATCACTACGGTAGTTAAACTTTCAGTGTGCTGAAATTCCGTAATTTATGTGATGTCCAAAATGTTGACGATAATTTTTCTGAAGACTTTTGTTCTCTAACGCTTTCTTGCTACCCCTACATAAGTCTTAGAACACAGTCGAGCATATTTGAGTGTTTTGTGATGGAGTATCATGCCATTCCATTTTAAAGAATATTTTGTAAGCACTGGAGACGTGCGTGTTCTTTGAAAAAAATCAATATTGCTGTCTCCTGAAAATTCCTATATATCTGCATATTCACCCCTAAATGTTGCTTATGTTATCAATGACTGGAGAGGGGAAACGATCTCTAGTCCATCATTCTCTACAGTATGCCATTTATATCTGTTATTTTGGCCATGAATAAAAACCCAAGGTCTTTAGTCAGAGAGTGAATGGGAGAATAATTATTCACTTCTTTGTCGATCAAAGTTTGCTAGTTGTCAGCCAGTGTCTCATGTGCGCTATGATATCAACCGGTAAGTGATAGCTTCGTCCATCCCTGATATAAAAAGTACTTAAAATACAATACATGGTTTAGGAGAATGAGTAATGATCAGCTCGAAGTTGTAATAGCAATGGTAACCACTGGTAGCAGTCCTATAGAAATTGTCAAATATAGTAGAATCTCTTTTGAATGTTTTGTTTTTTGGAAAATCCTTCCATGTATATATATTTGTGTTATGATATGACTGACTCTTTCTGTTGACATTTTGGTACTCTATTTGATTCCATTTTGAGATTTTATCATTGTATATTGTTATTATTTCTATATCTTGTACTTATATTGAAGTTTTTATGTTTCCTTCTGAACTGTACATGTTGTTTAAATCTGATAGTTAATATGTCCACAGCCATTTTTGGATTTGATACTTTAGCAGTAACGGACTCGAAGCACTTATTCTTCCAGGAACGGATACCTATTGGAAACTCGAAGATGTAATATCGTTTTGGTAATTGTCTGTATTTCCATTTTATCGATTAATAGAAACGTTTTATCCCAGAATTATCGTGTTTTTGTTCCTGGACTGGGGGTGATCGCGTGTCAACCTACACGATTCGAGACGCAGTGAACTGTTAGAGTAGAAAATCCATTTATAGTTCTCGTAAGAAGGCAAACACGAAGAGAGATGGAGTCCTTGAAGGATCGCGGTGTATGAGGCATGTCCCTTATGAAACTTCATTTTTAAAGGGTTCACTCTCTAGTAAGGCCGATATTATGCTTAGTAGGTTTTGTTGTAATTCATCATTAGAGGGTACTAAGGAACGAAGTTTGGACGAGGACTTGAAGATATCTGGGAAGGATTTGCGGTCTAGGACACCGGTAGTTGTATTAGAGTTGCCAAAATCAGAACTCCCCTTCTTCGATGGCAGAAACCGCGATTACTTTAGGTTTGTAAAACAGTTCGACACATTTATAGAACCTAGAGTTATGGATGACAATCTGCGCTTATTGTATATAATCCACTATTGTAAGGGAAAGGCGAGAGCTGCGATTGAAGGATGTCTTATAATGGAACCCCACGCAGGATATAAAAGGGCTAAGGCGATTCTAAAGCAGCTTTTCGGACAGTCGCACGTAATAGGTCGTGAAACTTTGGAAGACCTGTTTAGATCTGGGAATGCTGATTACAACGACCCAGAGCAATTGTTGAATTTGGCAATTAAGATGCAGAACGTTGCTCTGACTTTGGGGCAATTAAGTTGTACAGCAGAACTAAATTCCCTAGTAACTTTGGACTGAATAGTTAGGATTTTACCGTGGTCTGTGGTGAGCGAGACGAGATACCATATTGACTATGTTCACCACTAAATAGTCCATAATATCCCGTCTTTATTCATAGCAAAACAAAATAAATCCATGGTTGAGTTGTTTATTGAAGGAGAAAGTTGGCATTACATGGGTAGCAGCAAATAGATAAAGATGGCAGCAACGCGAAGAGAACGTTGCGCGCAAGAAGTCGTAGCAGTGTTTTTGTACAGTTAAACAAAAGATGTACAATAATGTTTATTTTTCACAAATCGTATTTTCTTCGTAGAAGCGTCCCACTACAGCAGCCCCCCTACACTTTCGATACGTTGCGGCTGCGTTCGACGGGGGGGGGGCTGGTCGGCCATCATTTGGTTGTAGTGCGGAAGAGTTGACGAACAGGAAGCGACCAATGAAGCTCGTGTTGTCACCGATAGTCTTCTACGTTGAACTACAGGTCCATGCAAGTTCAATGGACGAAACTATCCGTAAGATGGACTGAAGAAGATAGGGAGCCGACGTTCACCGAGCTTACTGAGTTTGTATTAGCTAGAGCTAGATTAGCTGGTATCAGATTCGGTCGGCTGGTCAATCGACTGAAAATAGGACGAGATGTGAAGATGAGCTGCCACCTTCAATCGAAACCTGCAAATATATCGACTGTAAGACTCAATTGCAGCATTTGTACTGGCGATCACATGGTTTCTAAATGCCCCCAATTTTTAGAGCTTACCATTCAAGACAGATGGAATCAAGTTAGAAAAAAGGGGATGTGCTCCATCTGTCTGAAACAAGGACATGAGGCTAGTGGCTGTAAAACGACAATGCGTTGCAGTGTCAATAAGTGCGAGAGAAAACATCATGTTTTGCTGCATGAGGACTCGACTACCAAAAAGTTGGATGATAAACGTGATTCCCAGCATTGTTGCGGACTTACTAGGTCACTAAGCAGTCAAGTATGTTTAGGACTGATCCCAGTACGTGTGAGATTGGGAAAAGCCGAGATCATAGGATATGCTCTTTTCGATAACGGCTCTGATTCTACATTGATAACGTCAACTTGTGCGAAATCACTTGAGTTGCCGGAAGATTATTAGTTAGTTGTGGTGCAGACTGTAGGTGATGACAAAATGGCAGGGAGTACGAACGCCACATTCGAAGTGCATTCTTTAGATCAGTCGGAACATATTGTAATCGAAGGGACGATGATCGTATCTAGCCTACCAAGCCAGCAATGAAGAACCTAAATAAGTGGCCGCACTTAAATGATATACCAGTTGAAAGCCTAGATTCTGAAGACGTTTTAATGTCCATCGGTTGTGACGTACCAGAAGCACATTGGGTGTTAGAGCAGCGGCTAGGCGGGAGGAAGGCACCGTATGCGGTAAAGACACTACTCGGATGGACTGTATTTGGACCTACATCATATTTGGAATATAGAAAAAGAGTTGGTAATCATACTAGTAGCGTGCAACATTTTGAGGGCCAGATACGTAAACTGTATGATGTGGAGTTTGCTGGTGTCTATTCTAGTGGCAAGTTAGTGTCTGTAGAAGACCAGGTAGCTCTTGAGATCGTGGACAGAGGTACACACTTCGTCGACGGCCATTTTGTAGTTCCGATACCATGGAAACAGGACCCCTCTACGAACGGGGCTAATTATGAGGTCGCTAGTAATAGGCTACAGAGTTTGAGGCGAAGATTGATGAGAGACGATAGGTCGCGTGTCAGGTACGCTAAATATATGGAAGATAACGTCTCTAAGGGTTGTGCGCAAAAGGCACCTGATTTGCGTTTGGAGTCGGGCTATCGTCCCCGGTGGTATCTACCTCACCATCCCGTGTTGAACCCCGAAAATCCGGATAAGTTGAGAGTGTTCCTGGACTGTGCTGCTAAGTTTGCTGGGATCTCCTTAAACGATATGATCTATCAAGGGCCGGACAGCACCGCTGATCTGGTAAGCATACTATTGCGTTTTCGCAGGGAAGCAGTAGCGGTATCGGCAGATGTTGAGGAAATGTTTATGGAAGTGAAGGTACCCGAAGGTGACCGAGGATCGCTAAGGTTTCTGTGGTGAGAAAGTGGGAACACATCTAGAGAACCTTCTGAATTTCAGATATCCTCTCATCCATTTGGAGCCACTTCATCCCCGTTTTGTGCGAACTTTGCTATGAATAAAAGAGCCCAAATCTTCTCGAGTGCTTATGAGGGTTATGTTGTGGATGCGGTCAAGAACAACTTTTACGTCGATGACTGTCTGATATCCTTTCAAGTTGTGACCAAGCCAAAAATTTTGTCATGCATATAAGCGAGTTGTTACGAAGAGGAGGATTTAACCTAAAAAAGTGGGTTACTAATTCAGAGGAAGTGAGGTCAATATTACCGGTTATAGGAAACAAGGAGTCATTGTTAGGAATATCGGCGGATTGTACTGTTGCTCATCGAACGCTTGGTATAGAATGGGATGTCGAACAGGACGTATTTAAGTTCCACTTTGATGCACCGGATAAGCCCGTGACAAGGAGAGTAATCCTGTCTGTTGTTTCGTCCCTGTTCGATCCTTTGGGTCTGATGGCTCCAGTGTGCCTTACGGCTAAACTACTTTTGCAAGGTTTATGTAAGTCTCAGACAGGATGGGATCAACCTCTTGACGAACCATACGTGTTCAAGTGGCTAGATTGGTTAAGTTTCATGCGTCAGATGGGTCATGTCACAGTTGCTCGAGGTATCAAGAACAGAGTCGACGAACCTGACGCGAAGGTTGAGTTGCATTTATTCAGCGACGCCTCAGAGATTGGCTACGGAGCGGTTGCTTATGATCGGGTAAGCTATACGAAGGCACAACCCTACTGTATCCTGTTATACAGCAAGTCTAGGGGAGCACCTATCAGACAAGTTACGATACCGAGACTAGAAATGGCGCCAGCGGTTTTAAGTGTAAGGTTGAGTGAGGTTATACGGAAAAGTCTGTCCAACTTATTCTGTGGAGTAAATTTTCATACGGATTCCATGATAGTATTATACTACATTAAGAATACTGAAAAGCGGTACACCAGCTATATAGCTAACCGTCTTGCTGTCGTCCACCAGTATACCAGTGTTGAGCAATGGAGTTATGTAAGCTCGTCGCAGAACCCGGC